ATGTACTAACTAATCAAAAAAAATTAATTATCGACGAAAATTCACACTGCAATATTTATTTATTTACAGTGTGCAATTATATTAGTAAGCAATTTTTTCATTAAAATTACTAAGACTAGTTAGTATTTTTACCGACTCGACATTTTTAGTTTTACTGTAATCTTACAAAATCCAGATTAATATATTAAGAACAATTTTTTTGCTAAATTTCAAAGTTGCGTGACTGTATTCTATAAGCCAAAGTTGGACAATTAAACTCTTATTCTCAATCGTTAAAGAAAGTTTGATTAATATAACCTGACTTTCTTTCAAGTTACGTAATATCACTATAGTTTCAATTTTGTAACAAGTTATTTATGGACGCCATCAGTTGAACCATTCACGATCTAACTAATTGCCTTTTTGTTTCAACCAGACGAGTGTATTTTGGTACCGTCTTGATGTGTTTCAACTTAAGTAGTGAGAATAATTGTCAACCATTGGAAAAAATCCCTATACCATGTTTGAGTTCAGTCAATAATGTGATAAAATCTAGAATGTTCAATCTGCGAAACAGGAAGTTTTTAAAAATTCGATAAGGAAAGTGATGTAACTTGAAACTGTAGGGAAAAGTTCAAGAGTACATTAACGTCCTCGAACCCTACATATTCGCATTAAAACCAGTAATTTTCGTATTTTCAACCTTACTACATGTAAAAATTTAAAAGACGATGATCAAAAACTCCATGTCGTTATTCCAACTTAGTTTGTAAAAAATTAACTGATGAAAGTATTAACTAAGTATCTTTTAAAAGTCTCGTGATTGCATTTCGAAAATGAAAGTTAAAATCATCTAACATTTGAATAACATTTTATATAACATCTCTAGTTTTTATCATTATTACAAAAAGAAATAGATTTATGCATACAAAAGCATAGAAAACTATTCACCTCTGTTATTTCATTCACCTATACAGCATAACAAATTAAATTAATAACATCGAATAAATTGGACTGTCTTTATTTACATTAGTGTCTATCAAACCATTAAATACCCTAAATTTAACATTTATTTTCTTTGACGCAGATATCACGCCATGAAAGACATCGACGACGACTATGACTGAAAAGGAAGTCAGCAGGATGTTGGGTAAGTGTAAAACGAAACTTTAACATATCAAAGTTAATTACTTAAACTGTTACTTAACTGTGTCTTGAGAAACGTATAAGTTATAATTTTAGTTTTATAATTTTACTATTACCCTATTTTTATATAACTAAGCTATGGTGAACTATTTTTTACTAAAATACAGATATACAGTCTATGCACAGGATAACTCAAATCGTAATCAGGTACCACATCTTGCAATTTGTAGAGTTCCAAGAATTAATAAGAAGGAATTAATACCCTCGTGTTCTATAATTAAGTTAATTTAAGTTAAAGTAAGGCGCTGCGGATGTCACGATAAACGATTACAAGTTCCTACAAACTCAGTCGGACAAGGTTTCACTGCCTTAAGCGAACCTATTAGAAGCTTGTGACAAGTAATTAAAACCTTGAGGCTCACGTACACGGTCATTACAGATAATTACAAACGTTTGATTAAATTACATCCGAGTCTTACGGACGTGTCGCGTTTTAATTTGAAATTCTGGAAACAGTGCGGTATTGAAGATTGCAATTTTAATTGAAATCGACGAACTATGTTTACATTTTTATATGAGAAAAAATAATGTTGACGATAAATATTTGTGAATTTTCTTTAGTAGATAGTGTAGTCTACTTGACTCTAATATTCAATACGCAAGTATTTTTTCAAAGAAAGAAATAGGTCGTGCAATAAAACTTATAAATGCTAGAATGCTACAGATGTAAACAATGAGGCATAGCAACTTATGTGTTCCTATCAGGTGAACGTCCATTGTCTCTCAGGCTGCTGATATAAAAATACTTGTCTTTTATCTTATCAAACTCTTATACTGAAGAACGAAAAAAAATATAAATGCAATATTGATTTTTTAAAAAGGAGAACAAATAAATGATTCATATAGTTACTTAGTAACATATTAATATGTCATCTTTGTAACAGATGGCGCTGATATCACGACAAAAAAGGGATACTGTTTTAGTATTACGAACAACACGATTTTACATACAACTATAGGCATGTAGCTAGGATTATTAAATTAAAATTGGCCTACGCCGAAACAGGGCACATTAATCCAGAAAAAAGATGAAAATAGTTATGTTAAAATAAATAAGAATTGCATCTTGCTTCTCATATTATTATGTTACATTGGTAGGATTATTGCCGTGCGTAATGCAGTAGGCGGCGACCTCAGTGCAATAGATGACTCGCACGTGGGCTCAAATGTTGCTGATGCAACTATCACAGACGTACCTAAAGTATGACAGTTGGAATGAAGTTCGCATCTTAATTTGCCTGTTCTTTTTGATCTTTAAAGATTTACTAAAAAAAACTAATGTAAAGTATTTAATCTTGTTAAATAATATAAAATTAAAACATGCACTCCAATTTACCAATTAAAAATTCATAAAATATAAGGCACGTATCATGACTCTTCAAACCTTATAGTAAGTTACCGCTATGCATCGGGTGTTCGCTTCCTGAGCGATGCACGTCCAATCATTCCCCAATAGCCCTTTAATAGAATCACAACTCCGTTACAATAAAGTCAATACACTCGATAAATATTACAAAGTTAGCACCTTGAGTTTAAATCTCTGTGTCCATTGCTCAAGGTTCAATTTCACTCGTGATTTCTTATCAATTTGACATTGACATTATAAAAAATGCTTTACCGCGTGTGGCATATATTTTTAGCCTTATTAAGAAAATCACGCCAAGGCCCCCAGAGCACAGTATTGAAGATTCACCTACGCAGTTATTAGGTCGCTTCTAGTATGCAAGAGTGTCATTTTATTGCCGATAACCTAAAGATAAACAGACATAAGAAAACAGCTATCAGTTTAGAGTCTAGTGTTAATAGTATTGATAAGTGTTGTGTCAAGTTACTGTTATGTTAAACTCGAAGTGTTATAAAATATATCAAAATAAAGTGCATCGTAACATTGTTATAGAAATAAAAAAACAAGTGTTTCAAGTGAAAATTAGAAGAAGGAAAAAAACTTGATAGTTATTGATAAATTGGACTACAGATAAGAATTGGCTTAGTCATTTTGAGCAAAAATGATTGGATTTGTGTTGTGTGTGTTATCTAAAATTTATGATTTAACAAATAATGATACCAATGACAATGTCGTGCCTAAAAATAGCAAGAAATTAAATCAGAAAAGTTACAAAAGAAAGCACATAGGTATGTTTTGTTAATGTTAGTGATTTTACATCAATATTTCCAATATTGTTTGATTTAGCTAACTTAAAACAAACGAACGGGGAATTTAACTGTTGATTACCTTTAATTTTAATATTTGAAAAGCACGCCATCTAGTTTAATAATATGGCAAGCATATTTTTAAGAACGAGAAGTAATCAATGACATCGATTTAAAATTATTCATTAAGAATGACACTAGATGGCAGTATGCGGAAAATCAGATTAATTAAATTGTATTAAAAGTATAAAATAGGTAAATCAATAGTAGAAAAAAATTATACAAGTAAATTTACTCGTAAATTACTAAGTGTGGCTGCGGCAGTCATACTGCTCTTAGAGGATTGGAATTGGGCATAAATAATAAACAATATGTAACATATTTCGTTTAAAATTTTATGTGAACACATTCATACAAACTAAATAGCGAAAGCAACTATTAAAAACAATTTAATAATAATGGTGACGTTTTTATAGGCTTTACGAAAGTAAATAAGATTCTCTCTCCTATCTCATAAGTGACTTGTCTACTTGTTTTTAGATATTTTAAACAATTACACATAAAAACTTTTTCGAATTAGATTTTTTATCAATTCTATGAATATCATAGATTGTTATTATAAGGATAGTGTTCTAATATTTACTTAACCGTCATACAATAAGTTTATCAGAAACCGATTCGTGACGCCAGTGATTTACGTTATCTATTCGTATAGTTTCTGTTCAATAGAAACGCAATCTATTGTAACAGAACTGTCAATTTAAAAAAGGAAAGTAAAATTCTGTTGATAACAAATGCAAATTGGTTTCAAACAAACATGTTCGTGCGAAAATATCCCTACGATAATTTCAGGAAGGCAGCAGAATATTTGAACCAGGATTTTATTACAACAATAAATCGGCTTAAGACCTTGTCATTTTCTCCTTCCTCTTACCTTGATGAGGTTAGATATTTCTAGAAGAAAAGTTTTGTACTAGGTATAAGTATTTGTTGCTTCCGCTTTTTAATGTTAAATATACTTTATTATGTTTTTGATAACTAATTCTTATGAAATTAGTATATTTTGAATTATTTGGACAACAATGGCGAGATGGTAATTAAAGTCATTGTTGTTGCTCACACGGTTTCATTTAAGGTAGAGGACATTGACCGGCATTATAGCTCAAGTTGGCAAATGTACCGTTACACGCTTATTTTGCTAAATCATATGCTTAACGTGGGTCTCCACTGCCGAAACATGTACCGAAACTTTATTGTCATCCTTCTTATCCTGTTAAAACAACAGAGAGAACGATATTGTTGTAATAACTTTTGTAATGGAAATTTAGATTACACGAATATTGTTGTAAGTAACGAATTGTTTATTACAAGTCGTTTTAGCGACTTTTTTCCTCAAATAAATGGCGAAAATTGCATAAATAATTAAAATCGTTAGGTCGAAAGTAATATTTATCCCTTTATTTCACCGCGTGAATGGTTTTAAGTTATTTAAATTTAGTTTTTTAATATCTTGCAAAGCTGTTTTGTAAAACCTTTGGTCTAAAATACCGTCAGAGTAACATTATTGATGTAAAACTTATTTGTTAATCCACCCCCAAAATTGCTTATTTTATTTGGCGCAACCGGCATGGCGAGTGACGGTGAGCGCAGTGAAGTTTGCGGCGCATGCGTACGTCAGTAACGCGCGCTGCGCCTGCGCGTTTGACGTTTATACGGCGGTGGTGTGTTCCTGATCCGATTAACAACGTCAGTTTTATCTTATTACTTATCAAAATAATAAGTGTACACAAATGTGTTGTATCGCTTGATTTGCCAAACTAAATATGTTTTAATATTAACGAAGCGTGTTCGTGAATTTTATCTTTTGTGTTTAATGAAATCTTAGTCATCCATGACCAAGGAAAGTGCTTTATAATAGTTTTCTGCAGTGTATTGAGTTGTTTAAAAAACATTCAATAATTAAACATGAAGGATCAAAATTCTAACGCGCTTTAATCGTCGTATACGTTAGATTGTCCTGATCTATTTACGTCACGTTCCCGGTGTTCCCCTCCATGTGCGACTAATTTCATTGC